TTTTAAGAATTTCATGAATATTTGACAATTTGTTGTGGATTTAACAATACACAAAATTGGACACGAAAATAATGAATTAGAGGCAGCGTGGTGCTCGATTAAAATGTCCAACGATGATGAAAAGTCTGAATTGTGAAGACTAGGATCTAACTGGTGTAATGATTGCTTGACTCGGGATTTATCTTCGCAATGGCTCTATGGGTGGGGTTCTTTTGAATTGGGATCAGTCCAGCAAAGCTGAGATCACCTAAGTTAAAAAATAATAATAATAAACTTGCTAAAATTTGTGCATTAATAGGTTAACCCGCTAAACCCTTTAAAAACGGATTAATATTAGGATTAATTATAAATTTTAGATATTATTTTATCATATTATGAATATTATGGTATGTCATGAATTAAATATCTTTACTATTTTTGTTGATTTAGTATAACATTTTTCCTAAAATTTTATTAAAAAATATATACATTAACATGCCTAATAAGTTTTAAATAAGTTATCATGTTATATAATGTTGTGTAGATACAAAATATGTTAATTAAACATGTCTATCATGTCAATCCATTTAACACAATTAAAGTTCGTGTTCATGTATATATTTGAAACTCTAACATGTTAATTTTAACAAATCGTGCTTGTGTTTAGTTTTTTGTATTATGTCAACCCGTTAACAAGTTTGTTTATAGGAAATTAGGAATTATCAATTTATTTTGTTGTATGATCTTAAATGAGGTTAGCAACAATGGCAAAGAATACATAAGTATTTATCAATCTGAAAACTTGAACACCCTAAATTTTATTTCCTTTTTAATTTTTATTATTCTCACCATGTCAATCAAGACAACGTCAATGTCGACAAGAAGTAATATTTTTCTTATTTATTGGTCAAATCAAATTTTTTTAATTATTTATTTATTTTCTTTACTTATTTTTAAATTTGATTTAATGTTTAATAATACTTTTAGGTGTAATATTTAAATAAATAAAATTTAAATAAATAAATATACTGTATACTAATATTAAATAAAATATTATAAAAAAATTAATTAAAATAAATTTAATCAAATCTCATTAATTAAATCAGAATTATAACCTTTTTTTGTCGATTTTTCAAATTACTATTTTAATGAAATTTTTGTGGATTTCAAAAATGATTTTGCGATCTTACGATACACTTGTTTGACCCAAGGGCTGCCAGTCGGCTTTCCTGTCCCAATCAAATCACATTACCCTTTTTTTAAAAAAAAAAAAAAAAAAAATTACGTATTTTTTTATAATCCAAATCTAGCGACAACCTCGCCGGGGCCGCGGCTACGCCGTCCTTGCCTTTAACCCAATTTGAGGTAAACAAATCCTCGAATTTAGTGATATATTTTATGTTAAAATAGGAACATTTAATCAATTAAAGTTTCGAATTAAATAATTATAATTATAATTAATAATAATAATTGAAAACAAGAATTTCTTTCTCAGAGAAATTGTTGGTACTATACAAAAACACATCACATTTAATTTGCGAGATTAAGGTTATAATCTAAGGGGACACGCAAAATCGTGTCCGCTACATAACCAACAGCCTGCAAAATGTAGTAAATTCTATCGATTTTCTCTGATCTGATGCCAAAAAGTTAGATCAGCTTTTCCTATTTTCCACGGCGGCGCCGACACGCCCACCGATAGATATTCAATTTCTTCCTGCTTTTACCCGCTTTACGAATTTTCCGGGGGCGGTAGGTTGAGATCCAGGTTGAGGCCGCCCTTTTTCGGCTGATTGTTAATGATTGAGGACGAGTCTGACTCGGTCGGAGTTCCGGCGCCGCCCAGGAAATCCACCGTCTCCAGTTGACGGTTAGGCGGGGGATTCGCCGTCCCGCCTCGCGCCAGCGCGTCGAGGTAGAACATCTGGCCGGAGAGATTTACGGCGGGCGGGTTGTACCCGACCGGGAAAATAGGAGAACCGGATGGAGGATGATAGTTCATCGACGGAAACCACCCCGCCGTTATGGCGGCAGGACCTCGGAGGGCGAGATCCGGCGGCGTCGGCGAGAAAATTCCGCCGTCGCGGCCCGACGACTCCACAGTGCTGCTGTGGCTAGGGCTCTGGTTGTGGCTGTTGTTTTTCTTCCCAAAATTACCGAGAGGAAATTGATGATCCCCTAGCGGCGGCGCGAAATTTGTCTTCGCCTTGGCGCCGCGAAACTCCCTGGCCGCCTTGTCGTAAGCCCTAGCGGCCTCCTCCGCCGTCTCGAACGTCCCGAGCCAAACCCGCGTCCTCCGAGCGGGATCTCTGATCTCCGCCGCGTACTTCCCCCACGGCCTCTTCCTTACGCCCCTGTAACGCACCTCTTCATTCTGCTCCGCCGGGTTAACTCTCCTCGCCGCAGCCTTCTTTGGAGCCATTATCTCTCTCTCTCTATATATACGTATATGTCTTTCTGTATGTATACATTGTTGTCTGTCAAGTTCGTAAACTCAGGCTGTGGGTTTGCGAAAGAGGAGAGAATGCGAATATATATAGTCGGCAAATTGAGCGAAAGCCGGGTCAAGTCGGGTTTCATTTACGTGGCATTTCTTAAATATTGACGGCACAATCAATTATTGATTTATAAAATTATAAATGGGAGACAATAAGTAATTAAATTAAACTTTCGAATTCGATACTCAGTTATAATTATGAACTACTAAATTTACTCTCTCGGTCTGTTTCCTTATTACCATCGAGGTATCGAGTAATAAATGTGATTTCTCACACACATATAAAATGTAACGTAACCAATCAAACAATGAAAAAAATTATGATTTAGGAACTAGTAGCATTACTTATATTTTATTATAAATAAATATATCAAATTATATATAAATTAAATATAACTAGTGTTGTAAATTATATTATGAAAATTGCCAAGTATGGTGAGGAAGTTAAATAATATATTTGTCATATATTCTTTATTGATGATATAAAAGGAAAAGAAATAAAATTGATGACAATTGGCACTTATAATATGTTATCCTATACAAAATAAAAAAAGAATAAAACAAAAAGGAGATCTATTAAAATTCTTATATTGTTCCGTATGTCAGAAAATATAGTAGACTAGGAAGTGCCGGCAGGCGAAGTTGCCTTCCAATTTACAACTCTTCAAGCTCAACACGTATACATAGTATAAGTAGTTTAGCCAATACCGGCGGTCTCATTTTGGATTTGGACTTTACGCCCTTTTATTATTATTATTTAAAAAGATTTATTACCAAAAATTGCAATTGATTCCTTCATCAACAAGTTTATCATAAGTTATATCATTACTTTATTATTTTATACTTTTAAAATTTATCATAAGTATATCTTTATTATTTTATACTTTTAAAATTTCAGTCAATGCAATAAAAGTTTATAACCTGTATTTTATCGTTTCCAGTTACTTGTTGTGGAGTTGAAATATGGTTCGTAAAGAAAAATACACAATAAATGAAACGACATTATTAATTTTGATGTACGAAAGTTCTTTAAAATAATACTCTGCATTATCAAAACTGTTAAAGAAAAATAATCATGAATGACTTTATAATAATTAGAAGTGACGACATTCATGCTATATGAATTAAGTTTACTATTATCTTATGATGACTTTGGAAATCATATGCGTAAATTTTTTCTAAATAAATATTTTTAAAATCCTTTTATCCTTAGTTGGTATCGATTAATTAATCTCTCTCTTTCCATCTCATGTACAAATTATTTCCTTATTTCATTATCTTTTATCACAATTAATTTTATATGGAGAGAAAATAACTTTTTAAATTCTTATTATAATAAAATAACAATATAATATAATAATAGGTTCCGACGTTCCGTGTGGGTCTACTTCACTGAAGAAAATCAACACCCCCAAAAGCATTGAGTCAATGAAGCGAACTTCCTCCTCCGTCACCGCTACTTTTTGTGGTGGTGTACGTTTCCGTTGCCATTTCCGACCCATGCATGATTGCTACTTTGCTAGATCCAACTAGTGATATTGTCTGCACGGGTCTAGCTCAATAACTTAATACATAATATTTGGGAGAAGAAATTAATGTTTAAATTTTGGCGGCGACAGTGCGGAAATTATATTTAAAATGGATAGATCCCTTGTGCGCACCAATATTTGATGTGTGCTGAGTCATTGAGTCAGTATAATTTACATCATCCTAAATACTTTGTCATGTTTGGGTGTGACAACTTTTGAAGTTAAATATTCAACATTTTGAGAGAATAAGATGCTATCTTCCAACACTCTTTATATATATATATATATATATATATATATATATATATATATATATATATATATATATATATAGAGGCCAGGGAAGGGATCATGCATTTGTTGCTTCTCGTGCGTATGTGCGGTGGATTAATGTGTGTGAGGTTTATACTTAATGTGCGTGAGATTTGTACTCAATGTGTCTGAGATTTGTACTTAATGTGCGTCATGTTAATATGTGTGAGTTTTGTACTTAATGTGCCTGAGTATTGTGTTTAATGTGCGTGAGATTTGTGCTTAATGTGCGTGAGTATTTCAAAATTACGAGCTCAGAAGGAAGCAGAACAGAAACTCACGCACATTAACGCCCAAGCTTCTTGTTACTTCTTCCTTCAATTTGGCCATGGATTCTGGATTATCAGCTACCTTCAATGCAGTTGAATGTTTATATAAATGACGCACATACAGTAAAATTTGCACAGCAGCAAAGTGTGAATTTTTGTTATATTATTCCCATAATTCTTAACCATCATAGCTCGCCTTCACATCATCATCTTCAGGGAGGGCACAAATGGCTACTGGGGATGGGGAAGAAGCTGACATCAGTATTTTATGCTGTATTTTACACATTCACGCACATTAAGTACAAATCTCAGGCATATTAAACACAACACTCACGCACATTGAGTACAAATGTCACGCACATTAATCCACCGCACGGGAACCTTTCAATATATATATATATATATATATATAGTCTGCCGTTAGCTCCTCATTTCTGAAGCCTATGTTTCAGTGGAATGGAAGATGAATAGAAATTTCTTTATTACCGACGATTCCGTCCATCATTAATGGATTGTTTTCTTTTTCTACGTACTTTGACATTATCATTTTCTTTCTTTTATTTTTATTTTTATATAGAGTAGAAGAAAAATTATAGAACTAACTTTGAAGAAAATAACATTCAAGATAATATCGTCAAAAAAGAGTTGGGTCTAAAACTTTAGAGGGACTCTAAAAAAATATTTATTTGAACTTTAATGAGAATGATTAGGGTGTGTAGACATCTAATTTGAGGCACGATTAATTTTCTATGGATATATGTTATTGAGTAGACTTATCCCATATCACAAGTATATAGTTTCTTTCTTTTTATTTCATTTTCGTTGGTTCATAAGATTTATAAAAAAAAAAAATTATAATGCTATAATTTCTTTACTATAAAATATAAATTAAATATGTGGACATGGTACGGCACATAGGGGCTATTTCAATGCTCAAATTAGTAATAATGCTTGAGACACGAAGAATATGATTTTGATGATGTTTGAACAAATGTTTTAATATGATCTTTTATACGCTTTAAGTAACAATTATTTTGGTATGTTAAGTACTTTAAATTTTAAAACATGAGAAGCGTGTGCCACTTAATTTTTAACTAAGTCCCAACACAATATTATAAATGGGATAACGTGTCACGGCTTGTTACATAGTATATGGAAACATCTTAATTAATGTTCCAGTAGCACCAAATAATTTTTCAGTATGAAGTTACGCTCTAAACATAAATAGAATAAAGTGTACCCAATTTTAATACAAATTGCTAATGATGGGTACGTTTATAATATTTTAGATACATCTAATTAGTAAGTTGGAATTACTCAACTTTTTTTTTTTTTTTGGTTGATCTCAATCCATTCTAATGGAGACATGCTAAAGGCTACATCATTGACTTAGAAAGACAAATTTTGTCAATTTCAATTTTAGTGAAATTATATTGTCGCATAGAATAATAAGTAGACAAGTTTTATATTTGTCTTATGCATGAGGTAAAACATCAAAACGAGAAATGAGGACTCTATAATGCTAAAGTGTGGCCCTAATTTGAAATTAAATTTGCTCACCAATATTTGATTTTATATTTCAACTAAATATAATGTTTTTTTTTTTTTGGGGGGGGGGGGAGTACCAAGGGTGTGTTTTGTTTCTACATGGGAATCGGAATTGGAAAAATGAGAATCAAATACTTGGTAATGACACTGCTGAAAATCTTGCATTTTCCGTCTAAACAAACAAACATTAACAATCACTTATTCACTTTGATTCTCATTCCTGATAGCTAAACTCATGAATCAAACATATCATAATATTATTCTTTAATTTATATGTTATATGCCCGCACTAAATATAATGTTGTAAATTTGTAACTTGTGACAAAGCCAGACGGTTAACACTATAAATAATGACTAATAAAGTATTGAACTTAAATTCAACTATGCAATTAATATATTGTAAACTTATAAACGTATTATTAAATACTAGTATTTTATATGCACAATGACCATAAACGCATGATTATAATAATGAAAAAACATAATAGAAGTTATAACGGTAGAGATATTTTTGATCAAAAAATTATATAATACAATTCTTATACCATAATGTATAAAAAAATTAACAAAAAACGGACATAAATCAGTATGTGGTATAACTTGGATTGAGCCTTATTATTGTTATTATTATAAATATTCATTAAGCACTTGCGTTACAGGGCGTTTGGTTGGAATTGAATGAAGAAATTGGGGGAGGAGGAATTGTAATATGGTTCAAAAAGAATAATGTGAGAATAAAGTAGGACTTCAAATTACAGTGTTTGGTATGTAGTAATAGGATTACAGGGAATTGAATGGGAATAAGTGTATAATGACTGAAATGCCCTTTGTGAGAGATAAGGATGATGAAATGGGATGAGAATAATGACAGGGGCAAAAATGCAATTCTTAGGTAGGGGCCATGAATTACAATTCAGTCAAGGGAGGGAATTGCAATTCCCTCAAACCAAACAACGTAATTGATGGGGAAACAAATTACCATGCAATTACAACCAAATTATATCCATCCAATCCAAACAAACAGGCACTTACAGGGCGTTTGGTTGGAGGGATTTTAAATTCCCTTCCCACTTAATTCCCACATAATTCCAAAGGCCATTAAATTCCGTAGTTTGGTTGGAGGGAATTGCAACTGCATGGAATTGCAATTTCCCCCATTTTCATGGAATTAAAATCCCAGGTCCCCCCCTGAGATTTTAATTCCTGGGAAAAAAAGATAGTGATGAGTCAAAATTACCCTTCCTTTTTTAACCTAAAATTAATGTCTAACACCAATAATGGACATTTTTGACTTTATACTACTTATTCCCTTTCAATTCCCATGTATACCAAACATTGGAATTGAAATTCCCAGTAATTCTATTCC